TATTAATTATACTCGATGATATGAAGTACAATTTTTCAGCTCTTATTTACATATGATGAATTAAAAGGTGTCACCCTTTATCGGTTTTTTTTTGAATTCTTATAGATTTGCATTACTTGAATTCGAAAACGAACAAGTAGCTGAAAAAAATCATGCCAAATTACAAGGAAAACAAATTCGAACATGGAAAATTCAAGTTGATTTTGTTGGTGAAAAATCGAAATTTGAAAAGAAAACAGGTATAGGTTTCACCTGAGCAGCAAGCATAACGGATTTATGGTCAGCAGTGTCAGTTATTACCGAAACTACAAGTTCTTGTTTTTTCTTTTTTTAAGATTTCGCGTTAGATAAAAAACAACTTTATATTAGTCCGATCAAAGAAACTGTTACTGTCAGCCAAATGAAACAGTTGTATCCCAAATCAAAATTTGTTAAACTACAAAAACGAAAAGTTGGAAAAAATAAAGTTATACAGTAAGTTATCATCTAAAATACCTGGTTTACTTGTAAATAATTGGTTCGTTGTATTTATTTGAGTAGATTTGCCTTTGTTACATTTGATGGTGAAAAAGATGCTGAACAAGCTTTAATTGCTCATACAGAAATAGGGGGTGAAAAAATACATGTCAGTTATGCTCGTGAACAAAAACCGCAACAACAAAAGACAGCAGATGAAACAAGTGGTCCACAAAAACAACAACAGAAAAAACAACCAGGTTAGTTTTTCAGCTAGTTTAGTAGCAGTCAGCATCAGTTTAATACATTGTGCTTATGTTTGTATTAGAGCAAGAATTTGTGATGAATGCTATCTATGTTGGTCAAATACCTGAACATGTGGAAGAAAGTGAAATTAAAAAGTTATTTCCAAAATCGACCAATATTGAATTTTTTCCAGCACAACCGAGAAAACAAGGCGTCCGACTTGGGTAAGAGAGTTTGTTTGCTGGAATAACCCTTTCCATGGTATTTTTTTCCTTTAAGCCACGCATTTGTCGTCTTTTCTGATGATGCATCAGCGGCAGCTGCTATTAAACAAGGCCCTAGTCTAACGTTGAAACAGGCACAATTGAAAATATCTTATCGTACAAAACGTGCTGAACCACCGAAACGACCATTACAGCAAGAACAAACTAGTAACTATATTTTTCATTCTTGTACTCAGTGATCCCTAATATACTACGGGACTATAGGATCAGGTGCTCTTAGAATTTTAGTCGAACTATAGTTCAAGTGCGGCGTAGAAGTTCATGAATTGTGTTATTAGGCTTAACTTAATAACTATTCTTCATTGTTTGCTTTTCAGCTCCAACTAATGCAAAAAAACAAAAAGTTGAAAAAAGTGAAACTGAAACACAAATCAAAAAGCAACAGCAAACAACACCTAATACTCCACAACAAAGCGTTAAAAAAGCTCAACAAC